GCATATATCACAATCTCGTTTATTTTGAGAACGTCGTTACCCGATGCATCTCATGCATCATGACACTGCATACAACTGACTCTTTACCTTTTTCAGGAAAGTTAGCAAGCAGACAAATATCATCATTAATTTTAAACAGTTCAAGATTAATTCCTGAAACCAGACAGGACAACTATCTATGGACGACCGATTGTAGATTAATACCTGAAACCAGACATGAAAACTATCTATATGAGCAGATTGAAGATTAACACCTGAAACCAGACGGGAAAACTATCTTCCTTTCTCTAAGGTCAGAGATTAATACTTGAAACCAGATAGGACAACTATCTCAAGGACCAACACAAAACAAGTTCTAGATTAATACCTGAAACCAGACAGGACAACTATTTGTGGACGACCAATTATAAATTAATACCTGAAACCAGACAAGACAACTATCTACATGAGCAGATTAAAGATTAACACCCGAAACCGGATGGGAAAACTATCTTTCTTTCTCTTAGGTCAGAGATTAATACCTGAAACCAGCCATGATAACCATCTCAACAACCGATAAAAATAAGTTCCAGATTAATACTTGAAACCAGACAGGACAACTATCTATGGATGAACGATTGTAGATTAATACATGAAACCAGACAAGACAACTATCTACATGAGCAGATTAAAGATTAATACCGGAACAAGACGGGAAAACTATCTTTCTTTCTCTAAGGTCAGAGATTAATACCTGAAACTAAATAGGACAACTATCTCAACGGCCAACAAAATCAAGTTCCGGATTAATACCTGAAACAAGGCAGAACAACTATCTATGGGCGACCGATTATAGATTAATACCTGAAACCAGACAGGAAAACTATCTACATGAGCAGATTGAAGATTAACACCTGAAACCAGACGGGAAACTATCTTTCTTTCTCTTAGGTCAGGATTAATACCTGAAACCAGATAGGACAACTATCTCAACGATCGACAAAAACAAGTTCTAGATTAATACCTAAAACCAGACAAGACAACTATTTGTGGACGATCGATTGTAGATTAACACCTGAAACTAGACAAGACAACTATCTACATGAGCAGATTAAAGATTAATACCTGAAACAAGACGGGAAAACTATCTTTTTTTCTCTAAGATTAGAGATTAATACCTGAAACCAGACAGGATAACTATCTCAACGACCAATAAAAGCAAGTTCGGATTAATACCTGAAACAAGACAGGACAACTATCTGTGGATGACCGATTGTAGATTAATACCTGAAACCAGACAAGAAAACTATCTACATGAGAATATTGAAGATTAATACCCGAAACAAGACGGGAAAACTATCTTTCTTTCTAAGGTCAGAGATTAATACCTGAAACCAGACAAGACAACCATCTTAAACGACCAACAAAAACAAGTTTCAGATTAATACCTGAAACAAGACAGGACAACTATCTGTGGACGACTGATTGTAGATTAATACCTGAAACCAGACAGGAAAACTATCTACATGAGCAGATTGAAGATTAACTCCTGAAACAAGACGGGGAAACTATCTTCCTTTCTCTTAGGTCAGAGATTAGTTCCTGAAACCAGACAGGGCAACTATCTCAACGACCAACAAAAGCAAGTTTCAAATTAATACCTGAAATAAGATAGGACAACTATTTGTGAACAACTGATTATAGATAAATTCCCGAAACAAGACGGGGTGACTATCTACACGACCCGACAAAGCAATCTTACACGGATTCCTTCTCAATTTCCAAATGCGGCTTTGCACGAGCTCATCCTGGAGCAATCTCACACATATTCCTTCTTAATTTCCATATGTAGTCTAACACAGATTCATCCTGAAGCGACCCTACACAGGCTCCTTCTCATATATCTCTAGATGCAGTCTAACACTGACTCATCCTAAAACAACATACAGTTTCCTTCTAATACATTTCTAGACAGTAGTTAATTTCATTCTCCCTGGCAAGTTACTGTGAAGCCTGGATTTTAACCATAAAACAACAATCTTTCATCTCTCCAGTCTCAGTAGAGCCTTGTACAACAAAAGCTCATAGACGTTATTCCCCACAAAGGTTTTTTCTCAAGCAGGAGAACAACAAAAATCAACCTTCCCCAGCGGAGTCCTCTTCAGATAACAGAAATAGGAATCCCCATAAAGAGACCTCTTATGAAGTCAGCATCTACTTTGGATGGCATCTTTAAGCCCATCTCCGATAACTCTCAATTATTTTCTCCAAATGACATCTTTAAGCCCATTCCCTACACAATCAACCATCACATTACGCGAGTACAAATTTTTGGGCACTCTAGTGTACAATCATCTTTCACCTTCAGATCATGAAAGGCAAACAAGCCAATCTAAATCTTCAGGTTTAAGAAGATTGAACAGAGGAAGCTGTTGTACCCCAAAATTTTCCCTCCTTTTTCTCAAGACATTTTCTCACAAGGATTTTCAAAAGGGTTTGCACAAGTACAATTGGATTTTTGGCTTTCAAGCACTAAATCGAAGAAGAGCAGTTTTTCTTTGATTCATAAGCTTTGATTGGGTATTTAGCCCCTTTATCATACTTTGATTCATAAGCTTTTATTGGGTATTTGGCCCCCTTCGATCATGCTTTGACTTATAAGCTTCGATTGGATATTTGGTCCCCTTCGATCATGCTTTGATTCATAAGTTTCGATTGGGTATTTATCCCCCTTCGATCATGCTTTGATTCATAAGCTTCGATTGAGTATTTGGTCCCCTTCGATCAAGCTTTAGTCCACCAACTTCGATTGAGCATTGGGTCCCCTTCGAGCAAGCTTTGGTCCACAAGCTTCATTTGGGCATTTGGCCCCCTACAGGTTTGCTTCGATTCACCAGTAGTAGCCCCCTATAAGTTTGCTTCGATTCACCAGTAGTAGCCTCCTACATACTTGCTTTGATTCACAAAGAAGTGGCATCCTGCATGCAAGCTTCAATTGAGCATTGGTCTCTTACGTGTCTGCTTTGATCCACAAGACAAGTGCCTCATCTGTGCTTGCCTTCAACGCACAAGGAAAAGACTTCCTCTTCATGCTTGCCTTCGATTCATAAGGAAAGAACTTCTTTCATGTGTGCTTCGACCCACAAGGAAATGACTTCCTCTGTGCTTGCCTTCAATGCATAACGCAATGGCTTCCCTTCATACTAGCGCCCATAAAGCAGTGGCTTCTTTCATACGTGCTTCGATTCATTAAGCAGTTGGCTTCCCTCATGCTAGCTTTGACTCCACCTCTAAAACCTTCAACACCCAGTTTTCTACACTTTGACACATAATATAGTCCATTCAAAGAAACATACAAGTAGTGCCTTCAAAGGACATACATTTGGTCCATTCGAAGGACATACAAATGGTGCCTTCGAAGGACATACAATTGGTCCATTCGAAAGACACACAATTGTTGGAAAAAAATTTTGTTTTGCCTTTTGATGAGTCTGGTTCAAGATGCTTGTTGGCCAAAGTCCTACATGCTGTCAAGCCCAAGCCTCTTGCATAATTACATTCATGACAAAAGAAGCTTCGACTGGCCAAAATGAATTTTTCGGTTGGGCCATTTGGGTATTTTCAGAACCAATCGAAGAACAAGGTAAATAGGGGCTCAATCGAAGAAGCCACAATAATGAAACCCAGAGCCATCGAAAGGAGCAATTCAGAGCCAATTGAAGAACAAGGCGTGAAGGCATTCAAAGGAGTCAGAGAGTGAAACATGTCCAGGTTCATCCCAAAACCTAAAAGGGATAGGAATTCATCAAAAATGGAAATCCAATTTTAAAACCTAACTACCTAAGTTAATTACTCTGGTATGTATAAATTGTGATGAATCTCTTATTGACATTTAAGGAAGGTATCCAACACGAGGTACCTTAACTTTTTCGCTCCATATAATCACATTTATTTTTATGGATAAAGTAATTTTTGTTTTGGTTAGGATGCATAATTGTATGAAAGAGGATCAAAACCACTTCTAATATTTTTTTAATTTATTTAAATAAATTCTTAAAAATAACTTATGAAAATAATTTATAACATATAAAAATAACTTATTCTAATTTATTTATACTTGTACTATGTATAAGTTGAAAAAAAAGTTGTTTGTCCAAAGATAACTTAAAAGTAGTACACGCCACCGAGCTGGCTCTTGCTTCCAATAAAAAATCAAAATTGATTGGTTTAAAACTTTAAAGTTAAACTTCAACGCAAATAAACAGTGATTCAAAATTCAAATACAGGGACAAAATGGTCCACGCGCACGAAAATCAGGCGCAATACGCATCACGCTAACAATATAATCCGCTAGGACGTTAGCTTCTCTTCCCGCCTTTTTGTTCACAGTTTCGAATTGCATCAACGAAACACACGCTTTTCATCCACAAAACCAATTTCATCACTCCATTCAGTTTCTCTATCCACCGAGAGCTCCAACACACCTTCTCTCACACATCGCATTTCTCTAAACGAAGCTTCACGAAGATCAGATCAGGTTCACGTCGATCGCAAGCTTTCTCTCAACACGTTTTTGATTTTCATCATCTTCAAGTTCAGATCGAACTTAGATTATTGCTTCCGATTATTCTATGCTCTTCAAGAATTCTTCATTTCCTCTTTCTATAGGGTTTCTTATCAGGCGATCAATTACTGAGTTCTAGTTCTTAGTTAGTTTGTAGTGCGCTTCTGTTGATTTTGTTTTCAATTTCTGTGTTCAAATGCTTGTTTAGTTCCTTCGATCGATTTTTTCTTTCTTAATTTGCGAGTTTCTATTTGCATCTTGCATGGATTTTGTTTTTACGGTTGATTAGTTTCTTTGATTCATGAGCGATGAGTTTCTCCCTTTGATCTGATAAGCTTGATCTGTGGGTTTGTTACTTTTACTTCTTAATTACTACTTGCTGAAAATTGATTGTTACGTTTTTCAGGTCAGTTAATGGTGCTTTTGCTTAACTAATATTACCGGTTTGCGATTAACAATGGCTACTGCGGCGAGGAAAATTCTGCATGATGTAAGTAGAAATCTGGATTTGGTGAATTTTATGAACTGTTTTTAGTTTTGTAGATGTACTCTTGAATATTTTGCTTGTGATGATAGTATGGTAGTTGCTAGTTTGTTTGATTAGGTTTGTTTATTGCTGTGAATTTCTCTTGTAAATATTGTTTTGATGATTTTTGGTTTGTTCTGTTTCAAATGCATCCTGAGCATTCGTAGTAACTGTAGGCATGTGTTAAAAGCAAATACTGCCTATTATTTTCAAGTTCCCTTGGCTTTGCATTAAAGGATAGGATCAATTTTGGTTTTAGCTGCAGTGTTTCTATTTCTTGAGTGAAAAAAATGTTAAGATATTCATGGATTAAAACTTTATGTTCAGGAGCATGCGAATGATTGTCGGAGTATGGGAAGCAATTTTCTTCAGTCTAGCCAGTCAAGGAAAATTTCCATAGGAGTTATGGCAGATTCAAAGGCTAGCTTAAGATCTGGACCTGTGAAAAAGGACGGAGGACTCACGCCAAATACTGAAAAGGTAGCGTCTAAAGTGGGAAATGTCACTGGAGAAGAAAGCAAGGCCGAAGGAGTGACAACTTCCTCTAAATTAAAGAAAGCTGGAGGTCCAAAAGTTGTGGAGGGTTCTTGGATGTCCAAATCCCCTTACCAAAAATCACCTACTTCTGAGGTAAATCTTCAAGCCAACAAAACCTCTAGTTTACTGGTCTCTCCTGCGGGGAAGAATGAGCCTGATGGTGTAGGGTGTGAAGCTAGGGTTCATTTTTTTTCAGTTCAAACTCCGCATATTCCTGCTAATAATTACAAGAAGTTTGATGGAGATACTGACAGAAGCTCTAGAAGGAAGGGAAGGAAGGATGGGAGTGCTGAAGAAAGAGCGGAAGAATTTACATTTACTACTACGCCAAAAGTCTTTGAGTCTGATAAAACCAATGCAGAGGACAAGATAAGTAGAACAGAAAACAAAACTGAAAATTTGAGAATGAAGCTTTGCCAAATATTGGGGGCCACTTCTTCCCCTAAGATTCAGGATTCAGGCTCTCACACTTGTAACAAAGACAAGGAAAGTTTATCGCTCAAGCCGCGTTTGAACCGAAAGGGAAATGATTTTGTTAAGAGCAAACAAAATTCAGATACTATAGAAACTGATTCAGAAAGTTCTGACCATACTCGTAAAAGGCCAGTCACTCGTTCGAGGACCAGAAAGAAAGCGTCTTCCCAAAAGCAACAGGGAAAGGGTAAAAGTGACCTAGTTTTCAAAGATGAAGAGAAGCATCAAGAAAAAAGTATATTGTCTTTTGAAGAAAAAGGGATTGGTGGTTCCTCAGTGGCTTTAAAGAAAAAGAGTCAGGGAAAGAATTCCAAAATAGGGCCACATAAGATCTGCTTCAACGAAAATCATACTGCAGATAAACTTCTCCAAGACACTTCAAAGACTGATCCACCACTGCATGCAGAGGCTCTGTTTTCATTTGGAAATAAAATTGGAGGATTTAAGGGTTTCTCATCTGATTATCATACAAAAAACCCTCAGACAAAGAAAAAAGACCAAGAAAAAGATATCTATCAGCCGCAAACAGTAAACAATAATGATCAGCATGTAGAACTTGAGGTATCAGAAAATAGAAACCATCAGGAGTGTAGAAGTATTCCAGTTGCTCAAAGTGTTTCCAAGTCACGGGATGATTTTCAAAGTCCTACATTTCAATTTAAAACACCTACTTTAAGCTCTCTTAGCCCAACACCAAAGATGGACCAAGAGGAAAATGATGTTAATAGTCCGGCATCAATAGAAAGACCAAAATTTTGTATGAGGACCATACCTAATTTAAGGACTTTTCTGTCTTCGGAGCCAGACTTCACAACAAGGGAACAAGACAAGTCTCATGTATCCTTATTACTCCAGTGTTTCATGTTGATACTTGTGTATTTTGTCCTCAAACTAAAGATGTTATGTTTCTGTATTTTCTTTACTTAATATACTTCAGCAAACGAAGGATAGCAAGTATTCGATTCCTAGAAAAGAAGAATCTTTTGAGAAAGAGACAAAAGAGCAGGATGGATCATCAGATTCATCATATGAGGAGAGGAACATCAAAGGACGTAATCAAGGTCTGGCTTTCATCAAATAATATGCATTATCTTATAGACTCTTAATGAAATTTGCAGCCAATGCATCTCACAGAACTTTTTGTACTTCCTTTTTACCAGGCACTTTTAATTTAACTTTAACTATTTCTTCGTAAAACTAAGCCAAATTGGTTTAAGCACACATTAGCCAAAGGAAGAAATGAACATGTGTGCAGATGTTTTGTCTCCCGTTTTATTCTGTTTCTATGCCATGCTATTCTTGTATGTTCTTCAAAATTCTGAATTATTCATTTCCCAGGAAATAGGTTATCATCGGAAAAGTTCCATAAAATAGACTTCCTAATATGTCTCGCTCATTCTCAAATTATTCTGATGATGCGAATAGCGATGGTTGGATCTTTATGCAATGCATGATTGGAAATAATTACCTGGTTGATTATATTAATTTGTTACATGTCACAGAGGTCTTTGTCAGATTTAGTATGTATCTTGTTCTTCATAACTAGTTACTGATGTGAGATTAAGTTCTTCTCTGTCATGACTAGTTACTGAGTCCTTAACAGTGTTAAAGTAACCTTCCATGTCCAATACCTGTTTTCTGAGACTAAGGTGTGCTCAGTCATCAGGATTTACTGGTGCTTATAAAGTGTTAAAGTTACCTGCCAGGTTCACTGTTTCTAGAGTATTTTCTGTGCAGCTCCCTCCAGTAGATTGCTGTTGGTTGTAAGCCGTGATGAATGAAAAGACACTGATAATTGTTAACAGAAAATTAAATGACATCATATAAAATTGATAGAGCTGAAAATGTGGCACATGCACTTATATAATTCCTCTGTTAGCTTTTAATGCATTTGCTTGCTGGTTTGACGTTAGCCGCACTATCTGAGCTATCTGAAATTTTGTCTTTCTTCCTTCTTTATATATACTACTATTTGTCTTTTCATGACTGAGCCATCTTCTGTTTCATATGTAGGTTCAAGAGCAAAGCACACTGCTGAGAGGAAAAGTTTTACGCTTCATCCTATCAAAAGGCTGCGTAAACATAAAGGCATAAAATTTAATGATACAAGCCCAGCTTCAGTGTCTTCAAAAGGTAAAACTTACACTTTGTACTTGGTATTTAATATCTAAATATGCTATCCTGATCTATTTAATCTTCAATTTTTAATTCAAATTACACAAATGATTAGATATAGAAGAAAGCGACGAAGCTTCTGAACAGGCTCAAGATGGATTTGTAAGGTGTTTTCTCTTTTTCTATTGATGAACTTAGTGATGAGTAAGAAAAAGTACAAAATACTACTCATATTTAAACAATCTTTTAATTGTATGATTCTCGTCGACTGTAAGGGTTGTTGAACTGATTGCCTTGGAATTGGCCAAACTTAAGAACAAACTGAAGTTGGCGACTAGTCAGAAATCCTCAGAAATTTTGAACTCTGTTGCTGAAGACATACATTTACAGCTGCAGGATGTTCATTCCCAGATTCAAACAGACTTGTACGTATAATAGATTGATGAATTCTTAAACTTCCCATATCTCAAATTCTTATGCGTTTCTGAATAAAATGTTTCAGAGGAAAACTGACAAATCTCAATAAATCAAAGAGAAAACGGATAGAAACAAGATTTGAAGGTAGCCAATTTTCTACTTCAATCTTTTGCTTAAATATATTTGTGGTTTTATTTAACTAATATTGTATTTCTGTAGATCTTTCTCCTTTTAATATTTCCCTTTTAGATTCAACTTCCAAAACCTTCTGTCTTAGAGAAAATAACAAACTAAGCACCGTCCAGCTTCAGCTTTTATATTTGTGCCTTCATGAATGATTGTACACTTAATAATCTTGGAAACTATGAATAGTCCTCCTTATAAAAAAAAAGTAAATACTTTTCAAGTTCTCAAGATATTATATATTCATACAATTTCATTTAATACTTCAAATTCAAACTGTATGGTCCGTATTAATTTTCTGATCATAATTGAGAAGTTAATGAAAATACTGGAGTTTGTAAGTCCTAGACATTCAAATGATTCACATTTGTATTGGCAGAAATACCAAGTTTCAACATGATATGATATTTTACCATAAAGGTATAACAATCACACGTTCAAAAGCATAAGCAAGAATCTCTCACATCTAAGAAAACATGACGGTATTATTAAAAACGTCTCTGCATTTGATGTTTCACTTTGTTTCAACTTACTATTACTCTCTTGTCATATGATTATGTTTGTGCATAGATTTCACAGGATATGTTTTTTCCATCTTCTTTTCATACCGTCTCTCATTTTCTATTCCTCTAACAAAAATGTAGACCAGCAGAAACAGTTGAGGTTAATCTATGATAGATTCAAGGAAGAGGTTAATCTACACATGCAGGGCTGCAGAAGCACTGTAGAAGATCTTGAGGCAGATCAGATAGAGATAAAAGGAGCCCTGGAAAAGCAAAGTATGTAAACTTAGTGTACTTTTTCTAGTCTATTTTGCATTTAAAATCTTACCAAAACAAGTTTTATTTAAAAGAAAATTTTCCCAACAAATTAATCTAATCCAGAAATGCAAAACATGTCTTTTGGATATGGTAACCTCCTTTTTTAGGTACATATATCTTCAAAATATCAACTCAGATGTTTGAGATAAAGCTCATACAATTTTCATTATTGGTAAGTATTATCTAGGCTTTGACCAAGTTTTGAATATATCGCTTGTATTGTAGGAGTAGCACATAAGAAGCTCATATCGCAAGTTGAAGAAGCAGTGGAGGTCCAACTCAATGATGCTCAAAAGAAAATCACATCCACGCAGGAGGCAAGTTATATTTAGTAGCCATAATTAACACTGGGTTTTCAATGCCATTTTTAATGATTTTATCTGAATGAGTTAGTCGTTAGTCATAAACCGACGGCTTTATTATAGGTTTACTAGTGTGCTGATACATTGTAGTATTATAGACTATTGAGTTAAATTATGATTGAATCATCATCAACTGCAAGACTAAAGTCACTTAAGGACGACTTCAATGACTTGAGTCACAGAAGTCAGAGAAATGCTAAGCCAGTTTTTTAATTGCACTTGTTACGCGCTAAATGAAGACATCATAAAATTTGTATTATGTGCAATTGATATGTATGACATTTATAAAGTAAATAACTCATTTTAAGAAAAAAAGCGAGGGCATCTCAAACCTTCAATGAAAATAAAGAAAAGTTTACAATTAAATATGTATTTATATATGTACTTTTTCCCGACCCTCTTAACTATCTTTGTAAATGGAGACACCTAGCATTGTGTAATTTGTGTATGTAGGACTGATTTTATCCTCATTGACTGCAGATTGCAAGGAAAAAACTACTACAACTGAAGCAAGTTATAACAATGTGCTTGAAAGAGGCTATCTAAATTGATGTGATTTCTGCTGATTCCTTACAAGCTACAAACTTTGCTTATAAAGCGCTCCTTAAATTCACGATTTCCTTGGCACTGGCACATTAGAGATTTCTAGAAAGTACCTGTTTTAAGTGATGCTACTAAAAAGCACCTTTATATTCATTTGGCTGAGTTCCAGTCATATGATTGTTTTATTTTTATTTTTACTTCTTTCAAACTCCAGTCTTGGATCTATTCGTTATTTACAGGGGAAAGATAGGACTCATCTCATTTGTTAGAGTGGAAAGTTGCTAAATTGTTTACAACTAATATTTCATATTAAGAACATACAATTACAATGGTATTGATTGCTGTTATGTTAGAGATGCACAGACCCATTGTTAGCATGTTTGTTTTGGCGATTGTTAAACTCTGACCCATGTAACCATGTTCAATGTTTTCTTGCGTTTTATCATTTGAACTGCACTTACGGAGGTAAACACGAATAATTTATTTTTGCAACAGAGTTTTATTTTAAAAGTAATAATTATGAGTTCTGAGCAATGTGTTCACAAATAGCTAATACAACTATGAAGATTAGGACTAACTGCGGTCTGAATGTTTAGTTGATAAGTATTAATAGCTTAAATAATAGATCTTAGTGTAAAAATCACATTAAAACTTAAAAGTATTAGAGTTAAATTTTAAGTTAAGCTAATTTTGTTCGAGATCATTTAAATGTATCAAACTCAATTTTACACATGTAGAATAAAGTTTGAATGCTCTAAATGTAAAACTGAAATATAGACTGAATTCAAAACAGGATATAAGCGTTTAAGCAAAATTGTCAAAACAAAAAAAAGTAAAAAAAAAAAAGTTTATACAAGTAAAGGGAGCGACTTAAAAATTTAAATAAGAATTTAAACAACATCGACAAGTTCGTGATCTGGACTATAGGTGTTAATTAGAAGACTAATTTCATGATTATTTGTTGATTCCTAAGGACTAGGCGCAATAAAATTATCTTTGAAGAAGAGTTTCAACGGAAAATCAACTTTGTCTTTGACAATATTTTATTATAGTATAAAAGTAATTCGTTGTACTAAGCAATCGCTTCACCGTAATCTTCAATTCATGAGATCCTATTCCTTAGTTGAAAGAAGTCTCCTAAAGGATGAATAGAACTTAATTCTGATAGTTCTTTTAAGAAAAATTGAGCTCAATAACATGATTTTTTTTAATGATGTCCTTGAAATTTCTATGGCTAAGAGTGTTTGTACGGTGTTATAGTTTTTTCATTAAATTTCGACCATCTTTTGTACCATAAAAAATAAAAGGCGTGGCTTAAAAACTTAAATAAGTATCCTACTGATGAAGTCAACGAAAAGAGAAGCAAAAGTATATAAGAATATTAAAAACTGAATGGAAAATGTTCGTTTCGGAACTAGAAATGATCAATCAAATGGTGAGCTAATACTTTAATGCAGCGAACATGTGTTTCTGGTGCGACAAAGAAATGACTGACATACAAAGTTAACACTTTAACGTTCAAGTAAATGAGAATGAAAAATGACGTAGGAGTGGGAATAAATTTAAATGCTTAAGAGTATCGTGCTTTCTCTCTAATATAGTGGGAGCCGTTAAAATCATTTGCGAGGAATGCGACGTGTAATGCAGACAATCATCTAATTGATCTGTATGGTGGAAGATGTCTTAGGGGGCAAGGATGTCAGTTTTAGGCTAGAATAAGGGAACACCGATTCCTCATGTTCGCTTCCTTTGCTTTGTCCTTGAGCCTTTTGTCTCGGGCCTTGTGAGCGGCCTAAAACACATCCCCAAGCACTTATTTCTGCTTTGCAAGACAAGAGTTTGTTGTATACGTCCTAGATCGACACATTGACCTAAGGAGATGAAGAGGCTTGATGGGGCATCACTATCGTTGGAAACAAACACATTAAATGTCTTTCTCGTAATAGGTAATGTTTCGTTAGGAGTCTTTGACATGTGTCCCTATGCTAGTGAGCAATGAGTCTTCGATGAAATCTTAGTCGTTGGAAGTGCATCTCGCATTTCCCAATAGATATTTGTTCTTGGTCTTTGACGTGTGTCCCTGATGTACGAATTTTGTTGTTGACATGTTTGACCAAAGTGTCGTTTCTTCATACTTGTCTTTTTTGTGTTGACAATATTATTTCATATAGAGATTCCACCTACTATGATTTGTAAGGCAAAGGGGGATAATTCATTAGTGTGGATAGATCAGGAGATATTAGACACCGATTCTACCTTCTCCTCTAAGGATTGTTTGGATCGAGTTTTCATCTTTTATACATAAGACTCCACACACGAGGGGGGAGGTGTAACACCCTAAACCTCGAAACTAATATAAAAATATTTAATCGATAATTTAAGGTGTCACTACGATAATAATTCAAAACATTTAACACCATGCAACAGAAAGTCATATCATAACAAATTCAACAAGCCATTTCAAAAGAAAAATTGAATTAATAACATAATCCATAATTTAAAATAAAAACAACTCAAACGCCCTGTTTCTGATGTTACAAATCAGAGCATTTTTAAACCAACTAAAATAACGATAACAAAAGTAACGAAGATAAGCTCCAAGGCTCTCTTCCCAACTCACATCAACTAGATCATTCCTCATGAGTATTTGTATAATAAGTACCAAGCAAACAACGAGAAAAGGGTAAGAATAACCTTTAATATATTAATGGTGTAAAGAGTGTGAGGATATATAGAAAGCACATAACAATAACAACACCATTCATTTACACAATCAATCATTCTCACTCACCACAATGAATAATTCACATCAACATCACAATGCTTATATGTATGCAATGTGAATTACGACTTGATATTATGCATGTAATACCAATTCAACATATTCTTCTCTCATGAACCAGGTCCTCTCTTATGAATCCAATAACCCCCTTCTGAGCTTGAGACAAGCCACTAGTCCTCCTTTCTAAATTAGCGAACAAACCTCTTTCAACACGACACAAATGATGCATGTTATACAAATCAATGCAACAACAATAACAATTTTAAGACCCCCTTCTCACCATAAACAACAGGCAATGATAGTAGTCCCCTCCTTTTAAACTACTATCGAACAATTATAATAACAATACATACAAACATACAAATAGTCACCCCTTATGAACTATCACCATGAAACAACAATCGTAATTATGTATACATCACATAATTAATCACCAATCACCATAACAAAAAAATAACAATTATGCACACATCATATCATTAATAACCAATCATCATAACAGAACAATCACAATTATGTACATGTCACATAATTATTCACCAACCACACAACAATCACGATTGATTTATTATTATAATCACATATATAATATTTAATTAATTAATTTCACCGACATACATCCAATTGTAATTATAATAATTCAACACAACAATTATAATCACATTCATGACACATATTATACAACAATCAAACCATCATTTATACATCAATTAACACCCAAATTCACCAATTCAATCGATCACAACTATGAAAATCCTTTCATCAACATTAACCATCACATAATATTACACCTTAAGGAAAACAATTTATTCACGCCCTTATTTATATATTTAGTCTCTTAGAGCACCACCATGAAATAATACTACGTGTTAGCTTTCCAACGGTTCAAATCATGTCTCAAAAACGAAGTCACGGAACTCAAGTTATGATGAAAATAATATTTAACAAAATCGGCTCAATCGGCGACAATTGGACCGTTAACGTAGCTGGCACCCATCAGCTCTTTCGCGACTCCCTGAACTGCTGCAGAATGCAGAATTCTACCGTTTTCACCGTTTGAGGCCTTCCGGACCTCCGATTTTGATTTCGTAAAAAGTCAAATGCTCAGAATTTGACACATAAAAATTATATAAGAATATCTACCAACACAAATTATACAAACCTAACATCAAATAATCATCATTTTTTCATAAATTCAAGGTTAGGTTTCAAAGCTTCAAGTACACAACAATGACAACCAACAAAATTCAAAAATCATTCAATATAACATGTATCAAAACAACATATTACAGTGCACGAATTGTATATAATAATACGACATATAACACGGTTTTCTCATAAACATACTAAAACTTAAGAACATTCAACAATAGTAAAAATCTTAAAAGAGGGTAAAGATCCCTCTCTATCCTTCATCAATCACTCCATTATTCAAAATATTTCTCCCTTACCTAAAATTTCAACAAATCTTCAATCCCTAGCCTTGTTCTTCCTATTGTCTCACTAGCTTCTTTTTTCCTTTGCCCCTTTTCTCTATCTCCCCAAATTCTACGTATCAGCAAAAATTTAGCTCTCATTTTTACTATTTATTTACTTAAAATTATAAATTCCATTTTTACACTCTTATCCCCACTTAGTTCCACTTCCACCAATTTCACTTATTTTCTAATAAATCCAATTCCAACCTCATTATTTTTATTTCCTTATATTTTCCTATTATTTATTCTAGTAAATCAAAATTTCCATAAAACTCTACTATGTCTCTTATTTTTCTTCAAAAATCTTATTTTCCAACTAAATCTCACAATTTTATTTTATTTATTTAATCACTCTCATACTAATTTAATTAAATAAACTTACTAAACTTCTAAAAACCCTTAACCACCACATGACACACATATATTCATAATTAATTAAAATAAATCATATAAATTATTTAATAATTAAATAAAATGGAAATTAAGTTCAATTAAATAAATTAATTGAATTTGGAGTGTTACAACTCTCCTTCACTTATAGAAATTTTGTCCTCGAAAGTTACCTGAACGAAACAACTCTGGATAAGATTCTCTCATTCGACTCTCCATCCCCCACATCATGTTTCCACCAACAGGTCCTCCCCAAACAATCTTCACCTAGACGATCTCCTTGCCTCTCAAGTGCTTCACCTCTCGATCCTCTACTCTCAAGGGAGATGCCTCAACAGTCAAGTTCTTTTTAA